AAATAAAATTATGCTCACTTTATGTCATGATCTTGAATGGCTTAAGTTTCTGTTTCCACTTTTGATTATTTCCTTATTTCATTATAAGCTGTTCCTTTAGCTCAGTGTTTTAAGAACTTTCAGGCTAACATTGTAAAGAAGAAAGTCTTCCTAATGTTTTGTCTGGTGAAATAAGAATTTTACTAACTTTCCTTGGTTATTCTTTATTTTTCCTTCAGCTCCCTTCTTGTTCCTTAACCGCCTTTCCTCAGCCTGCCTGCTTGGTCTCCCCTCACAACTGAACTCTCTTCATTTTCATCTTTTATTTTTCATTTAAAGATCAAATTAAAAATGTAAATACTATATGCAGTATAGTTCTAGTCACTGAATCTGCACTTGGCGATACATCCTTTAGATTTTATTACTTGAAACAAATATTTCTGATTTGCAAACTTTTTATAGCCCTCAATAGAAATTGCTTCTCATTCTTCATGTGCAAATCCCACAAGCTCAGGGATGTTTGAGGGCTCTTATGTTGCAACAAGTCTTCCTCAAATCCCACCAAAGATTTTAAATCGGATTCAAAGGTGACATTTTTCTTAAGGGTAGAGTTAGGGTTACTAGTAGTTTTGATTGCAACCCTTGCATAGAAAACCAGTGCTTTGTTTCACACGCTGACACTACATTGAAGTACCTGGATGCAAAAAAAAAAAAAGAAGAGCTTTTTAAATGCTACCCACACTGCGTGTCTCAGCTGAGGCGATTTCCTCAATGTCAGAATCAACTTCAGGAACAGTTTCTGGTTTTGAGCGGAAGTGCTTGATGAAGATCAGAGGGAATGCTGTGCACAAAGACAACAGAAAACATAACACTGTCAAAAGTTCAGCAAATAATGAGATGTTTTTGGCTCTACTTCTACAGTGAGCCATTTTAAACAAAGCATATGCACATACACATGCGTGCACAAGAACTCTCAAAGATTGGGAGCAGAGTGGTGCTGTGGTTCCCCCCCAGTGACCAGACACGTTATGTACTTTATATCAAAGTGACATTTGTGAGAGAAGATGGTGAAGGGCACAAACAATGAAATCAAGTAATAAAGGAAGAAAAAAAACTGAAATAGGAGCTAAAGTAAGGTTAACCAAATTAATGCTGAAAGGCTAAAAGAAAAGAAAAAAAGTTGAGCTATGGCGACATCTAGAGTTGAATATGTAGCACAACAGTTTCTTTTTTTTTAAAGTACTATTGGTTTAATCTTCAATCACTAAAGTGGTTTTTGACATCATATGCTTACACATCAACATCATAATAATTTGGAATATCATTGAAAATAAGGTTTGAGTAATTCAAATCCAAAATGGTAAACTGGCATTATGTAGATCCATCTGATAATTGATCTTTAGGATTTAATAATTTGGATAACTGGGGGGTATAATCTAAGACTAATAAATAAATAAAATCTGCCAGGACTTGCTGCAGCTTTACAGGCCACATAATACGGCCAGATGTTAATAGAGAAACAAGGAAATACTTTCTATGAACCACAAAGACATAAAGCAAAACAAATGCATAAAATAAAATAGAGGATAGTAACAAACCAGAGGGATCAAAGGTTTAAGCTGCTTAACTTTGCAAGCAAAGAGAAGCAGGGCAGAGTCAATAGAAACATTCATAGGGACACTCACTTGCTCGAATCTTTCGTTTCCATCGATTATTATGTTTTGTGTTAGAGTGACCTGCAGACCAAATGCAATCAAATGACCCGTGAGGAAATGTTAGGATTTCCACCCCCCATCAAGAACAGATCAATAATCCAATAAATAAATATATGAAAACCCAAATTAAGGTCCCACTGTGTGACTGTAGAGCCACTCTTTAATAATGTGTCATTTTCTGAACCACGGTTGATTGAGAAAATCCAAAAAAAGATATTTGCCATTTGCCTTCTACTCCAGCAGTTAGGGTTTTTTAAAGCCAAAGCATTTGTCTTCAATTGGAAACGTATAGATTTAAGGAAATGTGGGACAGTTTTGTCAGAACATTTTTAGCCCAGAGAAGTCAACAATAAACACTTGTTGAAACACCTGATTAGTTCAAAACCCACAGACAAAATGACAGAAAGACACAGGGTTAGGGACGTTGGCACTAAACGGCTATGCTGAGAAACTCTCAACACGAACAACTTATAAATATTAAAACCAAGATTCTCCATCAGAGAGGCCAGAAAAATTGGATTTTAAACGGTTTCTTCAGTTTCACAAAGTTAAATGTTGGACCACATTAATGGCTGTACTGACCTTTAAGGCCGTCGTGGCTTCTGGCTGCAGCACCTTCTCCCTTCTTAGGTCCGACGATGCAGGAAGCCTCCAGAGCATCGACACCCATTTCTGTATCCTCGGGGAATCTTTTTAGATCTTTTTTCAGCTGATCTGACTGCATGCTGGTTGCCTCACCTGTAAATCATTACAGAGTGTGGGCACCAAGTTTTCCCGACTCCAAACAAACATTAGTTGTTGCTGGACTGACAATTAGAGTGAAAGTACGACAGTACACCCTGTTAATTCGAGAGTCGTATACATCAGGACTACATAAAAACAATCTGGGCCTGTATTCTGAAAGAATCCCAACACCGACGGCTTATGCTGCCATCATTTTAGTAAAATTCTGAGAATTTTAAGATTTTTCTTCGGTCTTAAGAGAGTTCATAACATGACACAATGTTAGAAGTAGTGAGGAGGATTTTTAGTGAACCTAAGAGTGTCGTACGTAGTGACGATTCTAGAGCTGTTCAAAACAGCAGGCGCCGCTTTACAATGTTCTCATGTAAAAACTTAGAATTAAAAGAGGGTGTACTTTCTTCTTGTCATGTATGGCATGCATTCCGACATATATTCACAGTTACTCCAATATATTTAACAACATTTTTCCACGATTTCACAACTTCTTTCAATCTATGTAATCCACACAACACATGAACATCTTCTCTACAAGTCACACAGGCTTATTAAGCAACTGTAGGTACAGAAAAACAATCTGCAGAGTCTAGTTTACAGAGTCACTTGTTTTGTGTACAAAAAGTTACACATATGCATATATATATCATGTGTACTCACAGAGTAATGAAGTCAACAATGTACAGAATCTTTGCAGAGGTGATTCCACTCGGCCACAGCAAAAAAAATGAAATACACGTTGGCATAAACATTTTCCCGATAGGGATACTAGACAACAAGGCCTTGTTTTGTCAACGAAGAGGTGTTTACCGAGTGTTCTCAATTTGATTAGATTTTGTTTTCCGTTTTATTTATGAAGGGGAAATAAAAAAACTGAGGAAAGGACAGAAAAGACCCATAAGTAAAGCCCACAAGGAAACCGATAGAAGCATACTGGTGAGATTCACTTCAGTCCTGTTCAGATTGGCTGGGGTCAAACTCTATAGCTGAACACTTTTTTTATATATATATATACTAATTAAGCTTTTGCATGACGGCCACCCTTTTTCTCAGGCTGTTGCATTTAGGAAATCTTCAATTTTGTAACATTTTGTCACAAGATGGACAGGATTATACCCACTTAAGTTGCTGCAAAGCTCAAGCATCTGTGTCCTCTTTAAAAAAATAAATAAATAAAGCACGCGTTAATTGTTAAAGGCTGTGATCATGAGCATGATTTGTGTGGGTGATGTTAGGTCAACTCAAAGAGCTGGAAGAAGGATTTACATTAAACAGCTTCACAGAATGTGTTGATTTTGCTGGTATCGAGAACAAGTTGTGTGAATGAACCCCATTGTGAATATTTGGTCTTTTGGAAATAATGCAATTTAACTGATGGGTAACAAATAACACTGCAAATGAATATTGCGATCAAATACATTTATTTATCAATAGTTATATACACAGCTTCTAAATGTCATAAATTAAGCAATTTTACAAAATTTGTGTATAATAGGCAACACAAAAATTGATCAACAGGCTGCAACGATACAACTGAGAGAGAAATCGTACCGCCAACATGAGTTTTCAGGCAGGGTTAGACAAAAAAAAAAAAGAAAAAAAAATCTGCTGTCTAATTATTTCCTGAGCAAAGACTAGGAGGTACATGAGAGAGATCTGGAGAGGGGAGCAGGAGTGGGAAGGTCTCCTTCTGAAACAGAGGGAACCACAGACATGTGGAGACATGTTACTGTCAAATGGGCCGAAGAGAAGGGGATGCTGCTGACACACGAGTGGCAGGGAATATATTCAAAAGCCGTTTGGACGGATGGTCGGAGTAAAGAGGACATGGACAAGCATGGCACAATGTCAGCGTTAGAAAGGTTGTTCAGGATAACACAACACCAAACGAATTACTGAAAAAGTGCCGACATGTTCAACAACTTTGGAAAATGGTCTGATTTTTATAGTGCACTTCTTACATTTTCTGATTAAGCCACATGAAAAGGCCAAAACTGTGAAAGACCTGATGAGAAATCAATTCTGTGTTTCCAAAGCAGAGCTAACTTTTAGATACATAATTTCTCCCAGAGCTTAAATGCAAACTTAAATCATAATCATACCAGGATAGGTAGTTAATCAAAGGCGTAATGGTGCGTTCTCTTTGTCCCCTGAAGTTGGAAATGCAACTAAAACAGCTCCTTAAGTCAGAATCCCTATGAATGTTATAGGAGCTTGAGATGCACACAAGGTATTAAAATTGCCTTCTGTTTATTTTATGAACTAATGTAAATACTGATTTAAGGGACTGGTATTTAATCTAGAACAGATAAGTATCATGGACTATAACAAATCTAAGTTTGTCAAAATGCCAACAGAGGGGACAGAATGCTACTAGGAAATGTGGCATTGTCAAATATTTTTAATGTGTTAAAAACGACAGAAAAATTAGGAAAACTGAGTTTGTAAAAGTATGACATTTTGAAATTTAGGAACGCCAACTCTGACTTCTGTAACAAGTCAAACAGCGCGTTACTGTCTATAAACTCATATCAAGAATAAGTTTTCTTGTAAATATAACAACAGTTCCAAAAAGAAGGTTTTGTGGTATTAAAACTGATCTCAAACTAAGTTATGTCCAAGCAACATAAGCAAACTGTTCTCAAGGAAATTTTTTACACTTTTTTTTCATTTAAACTGTTCTAAATTACTTTAACTTCAGAAGGGGAATGGTAGTGTAGCAAGTTTATCTATGATAGCACACTGATAGCACAGCAGCATTTTATTTCGCTTTGGTTTATTAAAGCGATTTGGCAATATTTTAAAAATAATGGCAACTACATACACTGCTGAAACATTTAGAAATACTGTAGGAAATGGCATCAAGTAGTTTATTCATCAGCTAAGTGATTGCGGCAATTCATCACAGGCACATTATTAGATTTGGTGTTCTATTCAACAGTGCACAATGCTACAAATACGATTTATAGTCTTTAACATGCCAGGCTTGAGGCTTATGATGGTTTGTGATTAGTTATCTTGGTTAGTTAGAAAACAAAAAACAAAAAAAGACAAAATCAGATGGAGCTACAAAAGGCAGCCGATGCAAAAGCAGTACAACAAGATCTTATGACCAAATCTGGCCAATCGTCACCTTCACAGCTGGCAGGAATCAGCCAATCAGAATGTGCAGCATTGGAAAGTTGAAACAGACTGAACAAAATGAAGTGAAACAGAAGCTGGAAGACAAATTTTGGATTGGAAAATAAATGAGATGTGGAAAAAGAAGGAAAAAGGGAAACAAAATGTGCAAAGGTTTTGAGAAAAACATTAATAATACTTTAAGATTTAGTACAATAAAACATATACAACAATAAACCAAACATAAAAGTCGGCATCAGTTACAGTGCGTCACTTGAAAAAAAAAGTTAATCACTTAACAAAATAATTACAAAATAGACTTTGCAAATAGGCTTTTTAGCTACATGAGAACATCTGTCTTAAAGATAAGGCTCATTGTTTTGGTTTGCATTAATTATTATTAAGCATTATATGAAATATAACTTGAAATTAATATGTACCAATTAAAAAGAAACTTCAAAAAGAAAGTTTAAAAAATCACAAATTAAATGTTCACAATAAAAAAATAAAAAGTACCATGTTGTTGCTAATAAATTTGTAAAATTCTAAAAAAAACAATTGTTCTAAACAGCCTACCATAAATAATGAGCCTTTAATCTTAAAAAGTATCTTTATAACACATTATGTAAATACTAGAGCTTTTGATGACTTAAAATGCTTTCACATTTGATAATGGAAAAAAAAAATACTGTTTTGGCATTTCCATTGCACAACTCTGGTGGGCAGTGTTAGGAAGCAGACAATTGAAACAAGCAGCTCTCTCACATCATTGCCAGAAGTTTTGAAAATCAAAACAGAAACCACACTCTTTATAGAATGTTCTTGGTAAGAATTAGGACATGCTCCAGGTTACAATTTCATAATTCAGGAAAACTAAAATTTTAGGCAACTACAAACCCCGACTAAACAAAATTAGGTGAATCTACATCCTGGATCTACATCACCCAAAACTTATGGAATCACACTGGAGTGAAAGTTTTCTGGAGCATGCCCACAAATCAGATATTAATTAAGCAGGGGAGAAAACCCAGGCCAAAGGAGTTATTGTTTGACATGCGGCTAGCAGGTTCTATAATAGCTAAGCTAAGCTAGCTCTCAAAAGAGTCGAAGCACTAACTATGTCCAGAGTTTTTAATATAAGTTTTGAAGCACCTGGATAGGTCTCAAGTAGTTAGTATCTTAGCACAGAAGTCAACAGTCTAAGCAACCTCAGTTTTTGGAGGTTGAGGAAAAATGTAAATTTGCTACCAAGCTAACATCAGTTTATAAGCTAGCCACTATTTTTTTCTTTAGGAAGGATCAAATATCCCACATCCAAAATAAATACTCAATTTTCAAGCTCCATAATTCAACATTTTTCACCTCTTCACTTTTCATATCTGTATATTTAGTCACAATACAATTCTAAATTATAAAAGTAAGTTAGAGAATTTGCTCAAACTAATAGGAAACTTTAGAGAATGAGTCATTTGAGACTTTTTCCATTGTCTCTAGCTCTTAGCAAGAATCCTAAATTTCCAGTTAATTCAAGCTGCAACTGTTGCCGTCTACTGCAGGTAATATGCTGACTGCTCAAAACTATTCAAGAAAGCCACATTTATTATCCACTAAACAGAAGCAGTGTGTCTCAGTAAGGTAGGTTTTTAAGATCACTACAGTTTACAAAAAGTCTAAGTAACTGAGGAGGCTTTAAATGTAGTAAGTGAAGGTAATAATTGGAGCTTTGACTTAAATGAATCTCAACTGATTAGGCTACAAAGAGGTAAATCTCCACCTTTTAGGCCTCTTGCCTCATACAAGTACATCATTAGTTCCTCTCCTAGGCAAACCATTGGTTGAAGATTTGCTGCTGAGCCAGTTGGGGCTCCTGGTAGATCTGTCCCAACATCTCATGCATCATGCAGAGCAGAGGACAGCCAAGGCTCAGCAGCTCAAACAGGAATATATAGTCCTGTGAGTAGCTCCTGACGTGGGATCCCACAGCTGTGACAGACTCACACACACTTCCCAACAGCTGTTGAGGCAACACACACACAGCCCGACCAGCACGCCTCGGCCAGCTCAGACCGCGCTTAATCAAGGAAACCAGGGTACCTGCGGGTTGGATGGCGCCTGTGGCTGAATAGATCCCGCTGTCCACAGACGAGGGTTTCAGGTGGCTTAGGTTTTCCTGGAAAAATCCAGATAAAAATGCAAATGAGCACACATGCCCCTACTTAAAGTAGTAAAATATTAGTTTTTATTTTTTCCTTCTCAATTTCCAGTTATGTTTGCAAAATAAGTTTAGTGGAAAGGTCTTTAGTAACTTTGTAAATCTATATAAGAATTTTACTTGTTTTGGTTGATCTTAAGAATTTTGCACTTAATTGATAATGTTATATATTTATATTACCAACACCTTATTTTCTGCTCTTAAATCACCATAAAAAATGAAGTAAAAGTTACTTGAAAAGCTGTCTTACCGTTGTTCTTCTGAACCTGCCCCAGCTGGTGCTGTATTGACGCTGGGCATAGTGAATCTTGCAATAAAACTTTTCTGTAATGAAATAAAACCAAAAATTTTTATTAAAAAAAAAAGTCTAGGTTTTTTTTTTTTTGTTTGTTTTTTTGTTTTTTTACAAATACTCCTTATTTTGATATAAGAATCAGCTATAACTCAGACGTACTCTCCTGTGAATCAAACGTGTGTCCACCCAGACGGAGGGTGCAGTTACAGACGTCGCAGCGGAAACACTCGCGATGGAAGAAGTAGCCTTCAGCGCTGAGTCTCTCCATCACATATACCCGTTTGGAGCAGAAGTGGCAGATGTCGCTGCCACCGAGTCCAGGAGGGAAATCTTTACGCACCACACACTGAGGGGGGAAAAGACCAGGCAAAGGTGAAGAAGTAAGAAAAATGCTCTCCTGAGAAGTTGCTTGGCGTTTTTCTCCAGAAACCTTTAGAAAATGAAAATTTAAAAACACTGATTCATATGTCAAAAACAAGTGCTATATGGGGGCGGGGGGAAGAACTCTGAAGGAAATTAGTTAAAAAGGTTAAAATATACATCAGTACTAAGTGAGTAAAGAAACACAGCTGATAAAAAAAACACAAATACAAAGGCAGAAACAGGTCACTACAAATTCTAAAATTAGTGATAATTTTAATCTTAACTTTTTAGGTCAGAAGGTATTTTGCAATTCTTTAAATACATGGAGACATGTTGAAAGAAAGGTTTAGTGTCAGAAGACCGTATTTGACAAACACACACACAACCAGAGTGAAAGGGTATGAAAAGTCACAGTGAAACAGAACAAAAAAATGCATGAATGTTGAATATCTAGGTAGTAAAACCAGAGTCCAAGGCAGAATTGCACTGTTAACTTCAGATATTTGCAGCTTCTTGAGCTCTCAGCAAAATGGAGATCAACTGCGTCTGTGGTTTATCTTGCAAAAAGAAAGTTAAAATTTGGGCTTTGAGGTATGCAAGTAAACATTTGCAATAAATGCTTGCATTTGTTTAGACTGTTAAAACCATGTGTACACTCATGCAACTGGGATCTATTCCTAGCTTTTAAATTCCCTGGTCAGAAAACTAAGGTTGAGAAATATTTGTTAGCACGCCAACTTTTCACAAATCACATTAGTATCAAGTCTGGATTAGTCTTCTAACCATTTACATGCATCTTACCAGTGCGGCATTGGGCCTGTGGTCTGTCTCATAAAGGACGGCCAGTTTCTGAGCTTTAGCATCTATTGCTGATGATACCTTTCCAACTACTCGCTAATATTTACACAAAGAAGAAAGAAAAAAACAAATGGGAGTGGAAAAAAAACAGAATTTATGGAAGGAAATAATGGTGTGTTGTTGAACTGTGTTTGGACTTAGGTTTAGGACTTGTACCTCTTTACTGTAACTAGGAGCTCCAGAGGGACAGCTCTCAGAGCGAACAATTGATTTTGGATTATTTCTTCTGGTGCGTTCACCATCACAGGCTGCAGTGCACTACATGAACACCACATGGTAAAACTTCTGTAAGGCATCATATACTGCATGATCAGAAATGTTGGTAAACTACCAGTATACATATGCAAGTGTGGGGATTCAAAAAAAACGGGCATTAAAGTGGTTTAAAATTTTGAAGTAAACTGTGTTTTCAAATGTTTTTAAATAGAAATTATTGAATATAAAACTAAAAAGGAACAACACATGGCTGATTTAAGCCAAAACTATTATATTTATCTAATAAATGTTTAGGAAACCAAAGTATTTATGTAAAATAACCAAGAAACCTGGTACCTTAGTGGGATCCTTCTCAGCTAGTTTTAAACCCGATCCATGAACCCTCTGCTGCTCATTTTCCACATTTTTTATCCTCTCGAGATTAGTGAAGGCGTTCTGACTTTTACCGATGCAAGACGAAGAGACAGAAGAACACGTTTCGCTGCTGGATGGGAACGTATCAGGACGAGAAGAAGAGTTTTGCTCAGTTTTCTCAGATTCAGAGCAGGACAGAAGAGAGGAGGTCACTTTAGGTTCAGAGGTGAAACAGGTCTGAGCGACGGGATCGGGAACAGGGTGGACCGCAGGGAACATGGTGGAGCTTTTAGATAGAGACAGAGGAGGAGGGAGAGGAGGAGGAGGAGATGGTGTGGAAGGACAGGAGGAGGTAGATGACTCCACCTACAGAGGCAAAGAAAGATGGATATTACAGACCAAGGAGAACATCAATAACTTGTTAATGTAATGCAACACTTTCAGTCCATCGCTACACTTAAAGGATCTTTGAAAAAAATATTTTTTTTTTATTTGGAGAAAACTTCAAAATGTCTATAAGTTAGAGCACAATCCTGAACTCTATGGAGGAGTAAGCGTATTGAAATTAACTTGTTGTCTGGATTATGTTTTCCTTATTTCCCCGCTTTTGATGCATTTGTCTGCCAAAGCAGTTATTTATTTTTTATATTTGTATTTCCCTGCATGTGTTGCTGATGTTAACATTCTCCTTTTTAGAGAGCCTAAAAAAAAAAAAGCAAAAACAGCCAAAGAAGTCATGCTTTTTTTTGGATTATTTTAATACAAGAATCTGATCTGATACAGAACCTGTGAAACAGACAGAGGAGCAGGTGGTTTGTTGGACCCATGAAACATGGTGGACAGGAGAACGGCTCTCTCTTTTATACTCCTGCGTGAAAATTCTCTAGTCGACAACCTCTGGTTTTTAGTCTACGGGGAAAGTAGGAGGTAATCAAAGCAGGAAGAAATGGAGAGTGAGAAAGTGCATAACGTGTATTTTAAAGGTGGGACTAAATTCACCTTCTGCTCAGAGGCATCGCATGATGGATCAGAGTCCAAAGCGGACAGATCAGACACACAGGTAGGACGGTTTGGGGAGTCTTCTGTGTTTGGGGTGTATTCTGTGTGACAAAGTTCAGAGCCAGGAACACTCACAGGGATCTGAAAGTGGGAGGGCGATGGGGAACGACTTTGGCTGCTCTGATCAAAATATGAATTATTAGAAGAGAGGAAACTGGTCTGCTGAGAAACAGAACTGGGATTCTCCAGCAACCGAAGGTAGATCGAAGGCTGGAAACAGGAGGACGAGGAGGAGACAGACAGGAGGACAAAGGATGAGTTCACAGAAGTTAAATACAGGGAGATGGGAGACGTTTGGAGACAATACCTGCCATTTGGGACAAGATGGAGGAAGAGGAGAAAGAGGTTGGATATATTTGGGTTTAGCAAAACGGGGGTTTTCTTCTTCCTCCTCATCATCATCTGAAGATGGAGAGGTGGTGGAAGGAGACAAAGGAGGAGAAAAGGAAGGACTAGATGGGTCCTTGGACTGTTTCAAGGATAGAAAAGCAATAAAAATGTTATAAAAGGTAGAATAAAGGAAACGAAAGCATTACTAGAGACCAAATCCAACACAAAAAAGAAAATGTAGGTGCTAAAATTAGATGTCATTAACTATACCTGATGGAAATTTGCACAAATTAAACCCAGATGGTTAGGAAAATCATGTTATGTAAAAGCAGAATTATGTGAAAGTGAAAGAAGCCAGTTACCCTGTGCAGTTACTGGCTTCGCTCCAAAAGTTCAAATTTATTTTACCTTGTTTATCAATTAAGGCCCATCATTAATTGTTTTTACAATTTAGAAAGACTTGGTCTGGTTGCCAACACAACATACAGCAACAAAGATAACACAAACACGCGCGCACACACACACACACACACACACATACACACACACACACACACACACAAAAAAGACCAAAGCAAATGGTGCCAAAAATCCAGTCTGGAAGTTCACCTACGTATCATACATATTATCACCTTAGATGTTTGAGCGTCAGCTAGTTATTTGGCTATAAATGTTTGCCTGGCACTTTTGTTCCAGTTTTGTTGTTTCAAAACTGAATAAACCCGACTTCTAATGTTATTCTCACCTTGGTGTGCAGCTTTGCCGTTGAGGAGTTCTCCTCAAACTTGGCCAGCAGCTGAGTTGCCATGGAGCGGACCTTGTTCTCCCGCAGCTCTCCGTCCTCACCAGCAGGTGGCGCACTATGGCAGGACAACTGAGGCCAGACAGGAGTCAGATTCAGAGCAGAGCTGGCTGATGAGTTGCTTTGTTAACCTAAACCCTTCGAGTTTTATTAGTGTTTTAATCCAAGAGTTTTCCAGACGAATACCTCTGTGAGGTAGCCGCTTCCTTTCCGTCTCCGTTTGTTAACAGAATCATCCTCTGCTTTCTTCTCATCCTAGAGGAGCCCACATTACAGATTAACTCACAGAGGGACTAATACACCTTGTATTTAAATAATCATTTAAAAAAAAGCATGCCACCCATTGACTGGATTACTTCAGAAATAACTTTACTGTCTTTTAGGAAAATGGATGCTAAACTTTAAAAAGAGATTGCACTGAGACTACATTGCACAACTTCTCTACCTATGGCTTCCCTAATCAAATGCTGAGATTTGAAGGAGTAAATATAGATCTAATGGCAAACTGCTACACTGTTGGGATAAAATATAATGCCTTGCATGCACTTCAAGGAAATGTAAACATTTTTACCCTGGGTATCCTCTTCCTGGGCTGAGGCAAGTTCAGCACTTTGTGGTTGGATTTAGGTGGATATTCTTCACCATTTTCATCTGGCTCCTTGGGGACTGTAGAACGAACAAACAGCAATTATTGGTTATCAGTTTCTGTCCTGACAAAACTGAATAAGCAGTTTGAAATCACAAGATAAAGGAAGCATTAATGTCGCAAGAAAAGATGCGACTAAAGTTAAAGTCCCACAATATATAAAACATAATATGCGTACATTCAAAGCGTGCGAATGGGTTAATCTAGTGTGAGGTGCGATACCAACACAGGCCATTTACCAGTACTAGTTAATTGCCTGAATTGTTTGTAAAATTCATTACTAAAATACATAAAGGTGAGACATTATATGTAAAGAAAAATGCAATTAATTGCGCTAAAATCTATATTATTAATTAATCAAAATTAATGCAATACCGTCCCAGCCCCAGTTTTGACAGAATGTTTCCTTTTACTTGATTATTTTACTGCGGTTCAAGTCTCTGGAGTAAAATACTGTCTGATTATGTGGAGAAGGGTGAGACTTTCACTCAGCAACTGCAGACAACTACTGCAAGACTGTTTAGTATAATTTGGTGACTTTATAATAGGTACTTGTATGAAGAAATGGGATAGCTGCAGTCAGCACAGGTATTTTCAAAAGAACAGATAGCAATATTGCTGAAGTAGCAGTTTTTAGAGGCGGCGTCTGAATTCTTACTGAACATTAGAGTAAACTAAACATTTACAGTGGAAATTATTTGAAAATAATCTTTAAAAAAAAGAAAACACGCAAACCTCATTCATGTCCTAATATACCCAACCAACCACCTCAATAATCTGGTGGTCCAAACGGACTGTGGGAATGCTCATTTACAGTCTGTAATTTTTCCTGGCTTTCACAGGTTTGAATTACAGGGGCGACTCAGAAGTCTGCTGAACATTTAGAGCTACATATGAAAACTGAAGCCGGGGCAGTCGCCAGCAGTGGTGGAGCGAGCAGAGAGGAAGGCTTCTGGAGTTACACGGATGTGACCGGATAGGCTTCCGCAGACATAGCGTGCATACCAGTATGGTTTCTGGCAGGGACCAACCTGACCACAGTTGTGTAACATGCAACTGAAAGCCTGTGTGGCAGATAGAAAGGAAAACGTGCTCGCAGTCCTTCAGGCCCTAAAGTGTTTCGATAAGGTGCTGAATTTGTCATTTTGCGCCGGCAAGATAGGAACGTCTACTGTTCAACAGGAAAAAGGAGAACAAGCCGGAGCAAATTTGTCTCTGTTAAGTCAACAGGAGTTGATTTCCTCCTCAGACACAAGACTTAAAAATTAAACGAGTGTTGGAAAACAAGTTGAAAGTTTCTGAAATATTTTGTAAATAGTTTGCCTTAGTAAAATTTGCCTCAAACATTTCAGGACGATTGTCCTAACGTCTCTGGAAAAACTTCCATGAATCAGCACACAACTGTTACAAAGACAGACCATTGTTGTTCAGCGATGACTTCCTGAAGGCCTCAAAGAATTTGGAGAGGTAGAGGACCATCAGCAGCTTGTCTGGTTCAGCTCTGGCAGCCATCTCCTTTCCTGTAGTCACTGGCTGGATGCCGAACTCGCGCTCAGCCACGTCAAACGCCAGCTGGTTGTTCCTCGCCGCATCCTCCTCGTTCAGGGAGTCAAAGTCGCTGAAACAGGCGGAGGATGAGATCAAATGTGAGATTTGTTTATATCCAATTTGGATTTTGAATTTATCGAAGAGATCCAATTTCATTCACGTAAAGAAGCAATTTTCTTAGCTCTTAGTGAGGAACAGACCCAATCAAGATCAAGTCAGCCTGTTTATGGCTGAGATTTATTTCCAATATGATCTGAACAGAGAATTTGTTTCGTTTGAAATAAAAGGTCCAGAAGACTAAATACTGTTTGCATTACGTTTCGTAAAGGATGGGTATCATCCTGAACATTCAAGCAGACCTTGAACCACAGCTCATCATTTCCATGCGTGCTTCCTGAATGTGCCGAGTGTCCGTTTGTGTGCATCCTTACATGAGTTCAGGCCTCTGCCGGTGAATGAGGGCACACAGGGCCAGACCGTCCCTCCAGGATGACGTGAGATTGGCGACATCCACTCCCCTGTAACCCCGAGTTTGATTCTGACACCAGGTTAGGAGTCGACTAGGTCGCACCTCAGATTCTGCAAGAAAGAAATGAGATGTTGGTGCATACAGTCAAGACTGCCGCACAGCGTCAAAGGAAGGAACAACATTTTCATGGCAGAAAACGTCCCTGTATCGCTTTCCCCAGTGTGTTTTATTTTTGTCCGGACTGGAAAGTTTTCTGAAATGGTGTCGACGCTGTAGTGTTCGAACTGTGTGTTCTTTTTGGACTTGAGCCAAGCGAGCTGGTCCACTTTCTGAAGCTAAAGCAGGACTAACCTTGGCAGTAGAGCAGAAACTTATCCCGATATGTCCTACTTAGAAAACAACCAGAACTTGCACACTTTCATGCAATTTGACAAGCCAAACAAGCTTTCCATCCTATATCAGGATTTGTTTACAGAGGAGGTGGCTCCATTATTAATGTAGTGTGTGAAAATCTAAAGACTTTTGCTTATTCTAACAGTTTAAGCAGGAACAATGATGTGCTTACTTGTTGTTGAAGTACTGTACAGACAAAAGTAGAACAAAGCATAA